TTTTGTGTGTAAGAAACATTTAGCAACGACTTGAACTCAAAAATATTGGCACAACATCGTGATGATTTGATTACAGAAATACGTTGAGGACTAAAATTAATTCTTATCATTGTAAGTGTATTTCGGCACGACCCGATAACTCTGCTACCGAAGTGAAATTCTGTGGTGAAATTTTGACATTTTGCTGTGTTTACTTTTTTAACGAAAGCACACGCAGTGCTGTCAAACGTCTAGAACTGTAAAGCAAATGTTTCTCTACACAATGGGTGACTCTGTACATTTCTTCGTTTAAAACAAATTGTATAGTGACTAGAAAATTATGCAATAACAAAGAACAATGAATCCGAGTGCTGGAATGGCAGATTTATATAACGAAATTCGAAGATGTTATTAGGAGTAAGATAATTACGGTTCGCATTTGGCACATTTGAAGAAATGCTTGAAAAGATATGAAGAATATTGTGATGATTAAATGTTGTTAAAGTGCACTTGGATATTGTAGACGTTGATAGACAAATAGTTGACTCTGGTTTGTGTGTAGAACATTATAAAAAGACCATTATAATAGAAGAAACGTTGGATAATAAAGCTGATATGCCAGTTTACACAATGGCATCTAATGGTATTATGGTATGAAAGGTAATTCTGATTGGGCTATTGAGTTTTGCATTGGATCGATGAAAATATTGGAAAAATATGCGTTGATTAACGTTTCAGGATAAGACAATGTTCTGAGCAGGCCACCATCAGCTTTCGCAAAAGGTGGTCATGACAGAGCTCTTGATTATTGTTCAGAATTGATGAAGTTATTTGAAAGTAAGGCAGTCTCTCAACACCAACACTCTGATGCTGTTGATCAATCATCGTTGTATTCTGGTTAGAACAGAAATTGAATATGAGACTGCCTCGAAGTATTGTGACATTCCTAGTACTACTTTCGATAATAGATAATTTATATATTTATATATTATACATATAACTATAATTTAGTTCAATTTCTTCTGTCGGAAAAGAATGACAAGCTGTTAGTATGTACTGAACTTGATGATAATTGAAAGACTAAAACAAAGAACTGAAGATAAAAAACAAAGTTAAATTCAGTCAGCAACGACTGAAATTTTTAATGACACATTCTTACTATCCATTTCAAAATAGTAAGCCCCGTCAGTGTTGACCTTATAGCTCCGGAACGGTGATAGATAGAGAGGTGCGGTTTTCACCATTCGAAAGAGACATATGGGGCTACGATACCCATGAAGCAATAAGTTTACTTTTGTCGGATCTTCAAGGTTTTTGAGAGAGTCTTTGAAAGACTTCGGGTTTTAGGAACTTTGGAGCTTTGAACTTTTTGATTTCATTCAGCAGACATCTAGCCCCTATGCTTTACATTCACGTATTTCTTTATCACACTGCGATAATTTAAGATTTACATCTGTTGGATTATCAACTGTGGATGATTGTTGACCGTATGAATTTTTAAATTGTTCTGATTCACGATTAATCCGTGCTATTTTTTCATCTAATTCTGCTTTTAGATTTAAAGTGTCTTCAATCTGCTTCTTATATTTACACATTGCATCCAGCAGCACTTTATTTTCTGCTAATTTACTATGAATTGTCGTTATTTTGTCATCAACTTTATAAATGTCGTCTAATTTCAATTTACCAAATTTATCCAAACCGTACTCGTTTTCTAATACTTGCCTAATTATTTTCTTGAGTGGTTCAAGGAAAGTGCCACTATGAAACATGCGATTCACAAATTCAATTTCATCAAATAAGCTCATTCATGTTCTTCCAAAGAAAATATTAGAGTATTAACTATGATGAAAGAATAGTTATGACGAAGACATTTTTGGAATGCGACTGCTCTGTAGATGAAAAGCAAGAGGAATGATTTTGCTGGAGGAATGATGTTCTTGGGGTGCTGTGCTACCTTCAGTCGAAAGATCAATCACAAATGTCATAATAATGAGCAACAGTTGTATAATCAAGGGATCTCGATTACAAATATCTAAAACTGATTGTCTCACTTGTTTTATCATTATTACAAATTCTTCTTTAAAACAATAAATATATAATTGTTTACTATAATTCGCATATTCTTCGTCCATTTCAGGTTCATTAAATAGATCTTTCTCAATATTATAGATTAAACATGTACGCATTAGAAATACCAGTGGAAGATTACATTTAACTAAAATAAATCGATCTTGTTCACTAAGTGTTTCAAATTCAGGTATACTATTCATAAATGAAATAAGTTTCACTGTTATAGGACCACATGAATCTGTTATGTATAAAACAGCTGATATTCTATTAACAATCTGTCAGTGTGGAGACATATCCCGATTGGGATATCATTTTTTGCAGCAAAATTTTTTTTATATCCCGAACGGGATATAGTTTGAAATTATATC